CTTTCCGAAGACCCTTCACTCATATTCTCTATCACAACTATGGCAACAAAGGTTGTAAAATGGGGCAAAACTCACTTAACAACAGAAATTTTGGGCTCAACTGTGGTCGTAAGTCAAGAATCACCTGTAATGTATAAGCTGAAGGATATTTGTGAACAATGGACCCAGATGTCCATTTTAAAAGTGTCTGCCGTTATGGATAGACTGTCTCTAAAAGAAGGTATGGAAGAGAAACAAATTTTATTGGAGATCAATTTGAAAGTGGATCTTAAAAAGGTAGGCTACAAGAATGATGTGGAAAAAGATGCTACACTGGTCATACCAAAGAAACCAACTGATATCTTAATAATTAAAAAGAATATACAGATAACAAACCAAGAGAGTGACCAGGATAACTTTCCTATACTGGATTTAGAAAAGTTGCTTCTTAAAGTTTTGAAACATTTTCTGAGGAGGAGAAAAGAAATAAAAACAAAAAGAAACAAAGTTCTATGACAATATCTGAAGGGAATAAAGATCAAGATTGTTAAAAGTAAAAGGAAGGAATACAAAGTTGGTTTATCAAGGTTAAAATAGATATGTTATCTCTGGTAACACTTAATGGGCGTTTGCGACCAGGACTGAATAACAAGGTTTTAAATTTTTTTTATATAGTTAAGAGATGAGATATGGAAAGAAAAGATAATTTGTTGTATTTTAATAAAAAGTGATCACTTATTAAATTGTGTATACTTGTTGTGATGAAGAGGGAAATAATTTATATATTTCCTTTTTTCTTTTTACATTCTCATTTTTCTTGTCTATTTTTCCTCCTTTACACTTTTTAATTCTTTTTCCAGTTTGTATTAGTTCTTGCATTTTAATTGTAATGTTTAATAAATTATAAAAACACAAACTAATATTATTTTCTATTGATACCAGACTGATAGATTCATAACTCCCTGATCCTGCCTGCATCTTCCTGAAGGGACAATATTTACTTCCCTCCAGCATTCCATAATTTCTCAAAGATAGTACAAAAAACATTGGCTAAATCTTCAGTAAACTTCAATGCTCTTAGATCCTATTACTTCTGTAAATTTTAATTCATGCAAGGAAAATAGATATTCCTAGACCACACTTCTATCAAACTGAATCCTGTTTAGACTGTTCTTCAGAAATGCTTAGAACATGCATTCCCATCATCTTTTTCTCCAACACTATTTATGAACACTACTCTTGGAGTTCATTTATTTGATTTTAATCCCACCTTTATTAGTTTATAAATAACTCAAGGAGTTTATACATAATGCTCTTTCCTCTTTTCCCCACAGTAATTCTGTGAGGTGGGTTGGGTGGAGAGAGAGTGACTGGTGCAAAATCACCCAATCAGCTTTTATACCTAAGGCAGGATTAGAACTCAGACCCCTGGTTTCTAAGACCAGTACCTTAACCACATCCGCTTTTCCTTAAAATCAAGAATGTAAGAATGGTCATTCCCCCTAAACAACATTTTTGTTGTTGTTTGCTTGCTACTTCTATTCCTTGACTAAATGTTCACTCCTGGTTTATAGCAGGACAAGAATGGCTAATACACTTGTGACTTCTTCCACTCTATGAAATTTAAGATCAGCAAGCCAAGCCTGGAAATTTCCTGGAAGGACCAGGTTTGACAGAGTAACTCCCCACAAAGGCCACTGAATGAATGAATGAATAAATGCCTTTCACTATTGTATTAAATTTGAGGTGGCTATATACCACTCTATGTCAACATTTAGACACCAGGCAGTTTACATAATTAAGTTGTATCCCTCACCAAATGGCATACTGTAAGTTTCATATTCAATTCACAATGCTCTGTTATCATCCTGACAGGCTATTATCATTTTAGATTTGCCATTTCCTGATTTCACTTCCTTCCTTCAAGCACAGCTGTACAAAAAGAAAAAAAGTTGATCAGCAACCCATGTCCCCCTTGGCAGTCAACCACAGCTGAGAAGTTCTGATTTGTTGCCATTTTAATTTAGTAAAACATTTTTTTCTAATCAAATGTTCCTGTGTTATTGTTGTTTTAATACATTTTTATGTTGATAAACGTCTATAGCTACTGAGCTGATTTTTTTAGGCAGCAAAGATAATTAATTAAAAATAAAATATATCATTCGTCTCTTCTTTTAATGAAAGCTCCTGGGTTTATTTTCAGTAAATATTTCTTTTTTAACAATGATAAATTTCTAGCAGGCTAAATCTCTTGATATTCCCCCAAAAAGATGCACAAAAATGTACAGATACGCACAAAAATATCCTCTCAGTCATGAACGTACAGTATGAAATATTAGAACAGATTAAACAAAAGCACTTCCTGACTTCCAATTACTTAAATAACCATAGCTAATTAAACCATGGCTTGCTGAAAAAACTTTAATTGCCTTGACCATTGATACATGGTCAGTGTTTCTTAGCCTTGGGAACTTTAGTATGGCTGGCTGTGGAATTCTGGGAATTTACATCCACCTGTTGCCAAGGTTGAGAAATACTGAACTATAAACTACCATTCAAAGCTGTACTAGCCCAGTTCTCATAATACGAAAGGCCAAGGCCAAGCATATTATATCATGGATTTGTATGATTTAAGAACCAGGTAAAAACTTCACTCCCTAGAGAATGTAAGTGGATTCATTAGGAGTGTATTTGGGATTATTACACAGGTACACTTGATTCTGATACTGTACTTATCCTGAATTCCTGAATAAAGCATCCACTAATGCTGGGTAGATCTCACTAAGAGCAAATAAATCTTGCAAGCATCATTGGATGCTTCCTCACTTTAAATGAATGGAGTGAGTCTCAGTAGTGGGTGTGTGTTTTTTTTTTTTTAACAAAAATTATCTCTTGGTTTTTAATTCTCCGAAAGCCATTCCCCATGGCATTCCACTGGTTCAATATTTTCCAGATGAGCTGGCAAAAATCATTGTTACATTTCAATAATTAATCCTTCTATTAGTCCTTCTATTAGTCCTGCTGTAAGTAAATATATCATGTAACTGAAGGAAATATATCTCCTTCCACAATAGAAGTCTCTAAAATTTTTGTTTATGGACTTTTATCTTAAAAAAAAAAACTTGGGCCAGTGCTCTATGTATCTTAGCTTTTACTTATAAATTATAAAGGTAAAGGTAAAGGTTCCCCTCGCAAATATGTGCTAGTCGTTCTCAACTTTTATACATATGTACTAAATTATACATACGTACTAGTATAATATGTACATATTATAAAACATGTACATATCTATATCCACACATTAAATATTAGCAGAGCATGAGATAAACATATAAACATTCTAATATTTTCTTCCATACTCCAAAGGGGTCATTTTACAAGCCCAGTTTCCGAGACCACAATTCTACCAAGACCAGTGCTTCCCAAAGTTAGGTAAAAAACCCAAAATTGAATAAATGGAGAGTAACAACACATCAACCCATTACCCCCATCACAACAGGGATATTTAAATTGACTTTATCACCTACATTGGGTAAAAAGGATTTTCTGAAGAGTGGTTTGGAGCAATGAAGGGAAGCACTGTACAAGCTTATTTTTTTTCCCTAAAAATTATCATGGAAAAATAAAGGATAAGGTTCCCACCATGGATGGTGGCAAAGCTGAAACTGGTTTCTATTATCACGTTTATTTATTTTTTGACGCATAGACCTATGAGCAATTTTCACTGGTCCCATGCTGCCTGGGGATAATGGGAAGCGATTATACAATACATTGCAGAGGTCCCCAAACTTGGCAGCTGGCTGGAGAATTCTGGGAGTTGAAGTCCACAAGTCTTAAAGCTGCCAAGTTTGAAGACCTCTGATATATTGCTAGGCCAGGGAGAGGGTGGGGGGAAGCCTGGCCCAAACCATTAAACTTCATCACTGGAGGCTTTCAAGAAGAGATTGGACTACCATTTGTCAGAAATGGTGTAGGCCGCAGTGGTTCTCAACCTGTGGGTCGGGACCCCTTTGGGGGTCGAACGACCCTTTCACAGGGGTCGCCTAAGACCATCGGAAAATACATATTTTCAATGGTCTTAGGAACAATTTTATGGTTGGGGGTCACCACAACATGAGGAACTGTATTAAAGGGTGGCGGCCTTAGGAAGGTTGAGAACCACTGGTGTAGGGTCTCCTGCTTGGACGAGGGGTCGGACTAGATGCCCTACAAGGTCCCTTCCAACTCTGTGAATCGAATCGAATCAAATTACCTTTTTTGCAGGACCTACAAATTCCTGCAGGTCACGCTTAGGAACCTCTTTCCGGAGGGCAAAAGTCAATTCTCAGCCCTCTTCTTATTTATTTATTTATTTTATCAGATTTCTATACCGCCCTTTTCCTTTCGGACTCAGGGCGGTGAACAGCCAAAGTAAAACATTTGTACACAAAAGTTAAAATAGATTTAAAATAATTAAATAAGTTCGGCCCATAATTTAAAACATTTCAATTTAAAACCAATTTCAAATTTTAAAAACCCACCATAAAATCAGGACAGCCTTTTTTTGTTTGCCTTTTTTTTTTTTTTTAAACTCCGCCAAACATTTCTGCAAAAAAGGCTCCAGCTCACCAACAGGGGAGCCTGGGATCTTCTCCCCACAACCCCCAGGATACCTGAAGCCAAGCCAGGAGGCTCTTCCTTGCCCCAGAATAAGCTCAGCTCCATCTCAGAAGCCCAGCCAGGAGAATGCACCCACGGGGGGCACCCGGAGTTGTTTTTTTGCCAAGCCCAATTCATCCCCCACCACCCCACCCATTGAGTACCCTGGCCCCACGATTGGGGGGGGGGCACAAGCATTGCACAAGCCTCGGTTCGAAGCTCAAATGTTGCCCCCCCCAGTTTGCCCCCAGTTTGCACCACCGCCCCCACGCCTTTCCCATTTTCCCCTCGCCGCTTCCCTTCCACCACAGACGTGTGGGTTTGCACAGACGCCTGCTGTTCAAATCACCCGCACGCATCGAAGCCATAAGCCTTCCACCCACCTGCCAGCTATATGCCCAACTCGCCCGCCTTGCTTGCACCTCCAGGGCGAGCCGAGCGTGCAACGGCTCCCTTGTAACAAGGGGCTGCTTGTGCAAAGCCCCGCCTCTTCTAACGGCGCCGGCTAGTCACCGGTCTCCCGCAGGGGGAGTGTGGGGGGGGTTTGCAAACAGCGTCGCCCCCCTCAAAAGCTCCCCGTGAGATGCACCACGTCCTCCTCCGCCGTCTTGAACATCTGCCGCCGTTGCCTTTCGCTTCTCCCGAAAGCTTTTTTTTTTTCATCCGAAACAGCGGAGCGTCGCCGGGAGTTGTAGTTCTTCGGGCGACGCTGCCCGTAGGGCTGAGCGCGAGGCTAGACTACAAATCCCGGCATTCTCCGCGAGCGGACAGGTTGGGAACCGCCTTTCAAGTCATCTGACGAGGGGCGATAGGCTGACGCAGGGGTGGGCAAATATGGCCCTTTTACAAGCTGTGGACTTCAACTCCCAGAATTCCTGAGACAGCTTGGCTGCCAAGCTGGGATGGGCCTCCTGAGACAGCTTGGCTGCCAAGCTGTCTCAGGAATTCTGGGAGTTGAAGTCCACAGCTTGTAAAAGGGCCACATTTGCCCACCCCTGGGTTGACGGATCCGTCCAAAGAGAAAGAAAATGTAAACTCCGTACTGGGTTAGAAGCATACGAAAAGCGTCGGGTTCCGGGTTCCGTTTGCCTGTTTCTCCTCTCTTGAGAAAATGTGAAAGCTTATTATTGTAAGCATCCTGTTTACAATCCTGTTGAAAACATGTGAAATCTGGTGACCTCCAAAGATTTGGGAACGCAGCAACCGGCCTGGGAATGGCCAATTTGAAGATAACTGAAGTAGTAGATGGCTTCTGCCTTTCAAGGTCGACTAACAATAATAAAGAGACAAGAAGACCAGAAATATGCAGGCTAACACTTGATAATTTCTAACATTGGTTTTCTATCAAACACATCAAGTTTTATTTAATTACAGTCAATGACCACCAACCTCCCTCCCCACATCCCTGAGAACTAACTAGCAGTCACATGAAACCTCAAAAATGAAGACTGAAATACTGAAGAATGAGAAGAATTGAATAAAATTGGATAGATAAAATAGAAATTTTATCTAAAATACGTGAATACAACACAATAGAAGAGGTGAAAATGTCAGAACTCCCAAGATGGTATCTTCTTATGCCTTTTGGGAGGCATTAAATTACTGACAAATGTTGAAATTGTAGTCAACTAGAAACTTATTGTTTCTAGTTCCATTCTTCTAAGATTTCCTTTAATATTTCTGATGTTATAATATTTGTGTCCTTATTAAATGATATCAAGCTAGTTTTCTTCTCTCTTCTCTCTGGTTAAAATATTTAGTCCCTCTAATGTTCAATTTCTATCTTTCATTATGACTTGTAGTAATCAGAATAGCTAAAAGTCTGTTTCCCACAAGTGGTTCATTTTTTATGAATTTATAAATTTAGTTAATTCCAAAATCTTAAAGTAAAAGTCAATATTTCAAATTTGTCTGGACCCTTAATCCAGTTATAACTTTTTAAAATCTAAATCTTACTTAGTTTTTGCTGTTTTATTTCAAACATTTTAAGTTCTTAAGCTTGTAATTAGTTTTTCTTTTCTTGAAGATAACCTCATCTAATGAAAACTTTTCAGTTTTGTCACTTGGAGGGTCTCTAATAGCTTTACAATGGTCAGTAGGCAATTTCCAAAACTGATTAGATAATCAGAATTTAGGGTCCTTCTGCAGAGGGATCTTCAATTCACCATACCTCTCCTGGAAGACCAGACAGAGCCTGGTTTGTGTTAATGGCTGTTATTTTAATGGATGCTGTGTGTTTTTATTTGGTTTTTTTTTTGTTGGTTATATATGTTTTATCTATTTTATTGTAAGTTACCCATGTGGTAGGTTGCATTGCTATTATCCTTGTCATCTCATCTTTCTCACTTCTCATCTCTCTACCTTCTTCTATTGGTATATTATGATTTATCAATTGTTGTATCCTATGATTTATGATCTATGACTTATCACTCTGTTGTTTGTATGTACACTGAGATCTTAAGCACCGGAGACAAATTTCTTTTGTATCCAATCACACTTGGCCAATAAAGAATTCTATTCTATTCTATTCTATTCTATTCTATTCTATTCTATTCTATTCTTCTATTCCATTCCATTCCACTCCATTCCATTCCAAATGTAGCTTTACAATTAATTCTTGCTCACTTAACTAGAAATGTTGACACGCTGATGGAATAATAATAGGGTGCTGAGCCTAAGATTCTACTATTTGCAGGTAATACCTTAGATTTTGCAGCTAAATCAATTCTATTCCTAGTTTCATTTTATCCAGAGATAATCAGCTTCCTCTGTGGTGGTAGTGGTCACACAGGGTCCTGAAGCTGAACTTGCACACCTATTGTGGGACAGGAGAAATAACTCCAGACAGGCAAATACCTTCTGTCCAAGAGTATCTCCAAAATAGCTGGCTGGGGAATTCTGGAAATTGAAGTCCACATATCTTTAAGTCACCAAGGTTGAGAAACACTGCTTTGGAGAATGTCACGACGTGTGAATCCAGTTACACTCAAGAAACCATAGAGTTAATGGGAGAAACTAAAATGAAGCAAACCATTGCCCAGAATTGCTGTAACAGTAAGATAGGCAGCATAAAAATTTAATAAATAAATACAGTCAGGTCCAGAAATATTGGGACATCGACACAATTCTAACATCTTTGGCTCTATACACCACCACAATGGAGTTGGAATGAAACAAACACGATGTGCGTTAACTGCAGACTGTCAGCTTTAATTTGAGGGTATGTACATCCAACTCAGGTGAACAGTGTAGGACTTACAGCAGTTTGCATATGTGCCTCCCACTTGTTAAGGGACCAAAAGTAATGGGACAGAATAATAATCATAAATCAAACTTTCCCTTCTTAATACTTGGTTGCAAATCCTTTGCAGTCAATCACAGCCTGAAGTCTGGAACGCATAGACATCACCAGACGCTGGGTTTCATCCCTGGTGATGCTCTGCCAGGCCTCTACTGCAACTGTCTTCAGTTCCTGCTTGTTCTTGGGGCATTTTCCCTTCAGTTTTGTCTTCAGCAAGTGAAATGCATGCTCAAGTGGTCAGGTGATTGACTTGGCCATTGCATAACATTCCACTTCTGTCCCTTCAAAAACTCTTTGGTTGCTTTTGCAGTATGCTTTGGGTCATTGTCCATCTGCACTGTGAAGCGCCGTCCAATGAGTTCTGCAGCATTTGGCTGAATGTGAGCAGATAATATTGCCCAAAACACTTCAGAATTCATCCTGCTGCTTTTGTCAGCAGTCACATCATCAATAAATACAAGAGAACTAGTTCCATTGGCAGCCATACATGCCCACGCCATGACACTACCACCACCATGCTTCACTGATGAGGTGGTATGCTTAGGATCATGAGCAATTCCTTTCCTTCTCCATATTCTTCTCTTCCCATCACTCTGGTACAAGTTGATCTTGGTCTCATCTGTCCATAGGATCTTGTTCCAGAACTGTGAAGGCTTTGTTAGATGTTGTTTGGCAAACTCTAATCTGGCCTTCCTGTTTTTGAAGCTCACCAATGGTTTACATCTTGTGGTGAACCCTCTGTATTCACTCTGGTGAAGTCTTCTCTTGATTGTTGACTTTGACACACATACACCTACCTCCTGGAGTGTTCTTGATCTGGCCAACTGTTGTGAAGGGTGTTTTCTTCACCAGGGAAAGAATTCTTCGGTCATCCACCACACTTGTTTTCCATGATCTCCCAGGTCTTTTGGTGTTGCTGAGCTCACCGGTGCATTCCTTCTTTTTGAGAATGTTTCAAACAGTTGTTTTGGCCATACCTAATGTTCTTGCTATCTCTCTGATGGGTTTGTTTTGTTTCTTCAGCCTAATTTTTTTTTTTTTTAAATTTGATTTATATGCCGCCCTTCTCCGAAGACTCAGGGCGGCTTACAGTGCGTTAAGCAATAGCCTTCATACTTTTGTATATTTATACAAAGTCAGCTTATTGCCCCCACAAACTGGGTCCTCATTTAACCTACCTTAGAAAGGATGGAAGGCTGAGTCAACCTTGAGCCTTGGAGAGATTCGAACCAGCAGTAAATTGCAGGCAGCTGTGTTAATAACAGGGTGCTTTAAACCACTGTAGTACCAAGGTGATAGCTTGCTTCACTGATAGTGACAGCTCTTTGGATCTCATCTTAAGAGTTGACAGCAACAGATTCCAAATGCAAATAGCACACTTGAAATGAACTCTGGGCCTTTTATCTGCACATTGTAATTGGGGTAATGAGGGAATATCACACACCTGGCCATGGAATAGCTGAGAAGCCAATTGTCCCATTACTTTTGGTCCCTTAACAAGTGGGAGGCACATATACAAACTGCTATAAGTCCTACACCGTTCACCTGAGTTGGATGTACATATCCTCAAATTAAAGCTGACAGTCTGCAGTTAACGCACATTGTGTTTGTTTCATTCCAACTCCATTGTGGTGGTGTATAGAGCCAAAGATGTTAGAATTGTGTCGATGTCCCAATATTTCTGGACCTGACTGTAGCTGTTCTGAAGGCACTTTATAGCTCATATAGACTGATGAATTCACCTTTGTCCCATGCCACATACTAAATGGTGGTTATTTGTAGCTATTTTTTAAAAAAATACAAGAAATTGGAGAAAAAATACTCGATCCCGTTTTTCCATTCCATAAAACACTTTTATTTTGCTCGACTCAAACGTTCTTGTGTAATACTGTATACATCTATCTTTCTAGACATCTTATCGAAACATTTTATTTAAATACATAACATTGTTTTTTTAAAGTTTTTTTCTGAAAAAGTCCTGTTTTTCTGCGCTGCTCCCTCTCCCTCCCCGCTTTTAAATAAACATTTAGGCTTTCCTGTTTCAAAGCAAATTGGCCCCCAATAGAAAGTATAGGACTGCTTTTCCTTTAAAAAAATAGAAATTACCATTTTACACAACAAAACATTCAATGCAAACAGAAGATGTTTTTCACCCTAAGCCTAAAATTATTTTCTTGTCTGTACTTTAGTGAGTGTGTATGTGTGTGATGTATCCTTCCCCATGCCAATAAGCACTGCTGGCTGAGGACTATGGGCCCTGAAGTCAACATTTTTGCAGGGCAACAGGTTGGGAAGATCCACATAGAGTTTAATAAATGCACACTTATGGTACCGTATGTTTCATTCAGGAGGTCATCTAGTCCAACCCCCTGCTCACGCAGGAGACCTGTACTAGGGATTCGAACTGCTGAACTGCCGACCTTTCTGATTGACAAGCTCAGTGTCTTAGCCACTGAGCTACCTAGTCAGGCTGCATTCAAAACATAAAGCATAAAATCCAGGCTGCAGATGTATGGATTTTTCTGTTTGCACCAATATTCACAAGTATAAATATTTTATACCAATCAACCTTTTTTTTTTCTCTTCATACATAGTTGTGTGAGGGTTCTAGGGGTGATAAAATGCACATCTAAGCTTTCATTAAAAAAAAAAGAATTATATAGGTATATATGCATGTGTTTATGTAGTACTATATAGAAAGCATCACTTAGAAAGGAATGGCCCCATTGTATGGCCTGGAGATTCATGTCATCTTTATACTGTAAACTCCTGAAAAACTTTTTGCCCACTAAGTTTTCTTTCTTTGTAACCTGTTTTTTTTTTCAGGTCCATAGTGAGTCATGGGCTAGAAACAAAAATTATTTTTGCTTTCTAGAATTTGAGCAGATTTATTCCAGGAATCACGTTCCAGAAATGTACAGGTGTGTGTGTGGAGGTGCCAAGTTTCACACTCAGCAATTGTCTCCTACACTGTCGCCATTTTATTGCTCAGAAGCCGATTCTAGATTTTGGATGGTTAACAACTAAAAAAGGAATTTTCTATTCTACAAATCTCTACTTGTTTCAAACAATTTTGGTTGTTATGATTTTCTGTTGTCAAATTCAGCAACTATACTTGAGCAAGAGGCTTGAAATTGTGATTTTAAGAGATGCACCCCAAATCATAGGCCTTCAAGTTCTCTGGGAAAGGGAATGATTATTAAATCAATCTCTTACACCAAAGTTGGAAAATTTGCCTCAATTCCTGCTTGTTGTTGATAGGCTCTAAAATACAGGACATTTGTTTCTGGTTAATTATTAGAGCCCACTGCATTTTGGTTGGAAACATTTAAGCCACAGACCAATGAGCTGAAACCAACTGTTACAAAGCAGGAAAAAAAATGAAAACTACCTCTGGATTTTAACCCCATAAAAGCTCCAATCTCACCATATGATAGAAACATGTTATGTTGGCACAGTACAACCAAACACATGCCAACTAATCAAAGAATACTCTTAAAAATTGTAACTGGGCATTTTGAAGTCAAGAGAAAAGTGCACACAGTTTTAAAAAAGTAAGAATCCCATTCGGGGCTGAGAGGAACCCCAAAACATACAGTTTGTTGCCAGCATAACATAAGCAATGATTTGTAACGGGGGAAAAAAAGAATGTTAAGAGTTTTTAATATATTTAGGTCACATGAGATTGTTCAGTATAACTTCTGGCCATGGTTCTGTTACCGTTCTTTCCTTTAAGAAAAAATAAAAGCTGCCATTTGACCCAAGAATAAATGACAAAAGTGCATTTTGCAAGCAATAGGAAAGTCAAACCTGCAATCTAAGAAGTCAAGCCACAATAAATTGGGAATCTGTCTTGCTGTAAACTGAAGCACTTCCTGTTGCTCTAAGTTGAAGTAAAGGGTGCTTTGTCTGTTTCAGGTAAGGATATTCCAGTGGTGGGTTGCTACTGGTTCACACCAGATTGGGCGAACTGGTAGCAACGGTGGCAGGAGGCTCCGCCTACCCGCCCGGACGCTTCTGCGCATGCACAGAAGCGCTCCACGAGCACGAGCGAACCGGTAGCGACGGGATTTGGAACCCGCCTCTGGGGTATTCATGTCTACCGCCTACACCTGTGTTTCTAAACCTTATTAACTTGAAGATGTCTACTCTTCAATTCCCAGAATTCTATAGCCACTAGGGCTGGCTGGGGAATTCTGGGAGTTGAAGTCCACACATCTTCCAAGTTGGTAAGGCTGAGAAACACTGAACTACACAAATAAAAGTCAGTGTTAAATTTCTTCTCCTAACCCACCACCAGAATGCTGCAGAGCCCCCATATTTATGCCTTCAAGAACCCATTGACCCCACTGTCTCAACCCACAGAAATAGAAACGGTGATTCATACCCTGCGTTTCAAAGATTCCCAGCATTTAGCTCACCAGCTTAAAAAGAAGAAGAGCAAATTAAATAATTATTTCGTTGAAAGGCAAAGCCCTTTGTTGCAGAGAAATCGTTGTGCAGCAGATGGAGAAGTTAAAAGGACAAACGAATTTAGAATCAAGGGAATGTAGAATTGATTTCAGCCTTGGGTAAAAACTAGAGAAGCAAAAGGCAAGATCCTGAATCGGATGAATAATTCAGAGAGTTCGGGGGAAATGGAGTATTTTCTGGAATTCTGAACGTCTAGACTTCCCATTTTCAAGCATCTGGGCAATGCAGCCATTACAAATAATCCTTTATTTACCACCATTTGTTTAGCGGCCTGTCAAAATTACAACGGCACTTAAAAAGTGATTTATGACCGTTTTCTCACATTTATCACCGCTGGAGCATCCCCATGGTCCCGCTTGGCAAGTGACTCATATTTATGATGGTTGCAGTGTCCCCGGGGTGATCAACTTTTGTGACCTTCTGACAAGCAAAGTCAGTCAAAGGGGAAGCCAGATTCACTAAACCACCGTGTTACTAACTTAACAACTGCAGTGATTCACTTAATAACTGTAACAATAAAGGTTGCAAAATGGGGGGCAAAGCTCACTTAACAACTGTCTCGCTTAGCAATGGAAATGTTGGGCTCCATTGTGTTTGTAAGTCCAGGACTATCTGTATGCCTTGCCTTGCTGAAGGTAGCTGAGGCAGGGGTGAAATGCTCCTGGTTCGGACCGGATCGCTGGATCCGGTAGCGATGCCGGTGGCTGGTTTAAAGAACCAGTAACAAAAATCCCTGGGTGCCCCCCCCCCACCATGCCCAGCTGAGCCACATGATCATCAGAGGCTTTTTTTTTTTTAACTTTTCAAAGCATTTTTTCTACCACCTCTTCCGATGAAAAAATGCTTTTAAAAGTAAAAAAAAAAGCCTCTGGTGATCGCGCGTCTCAGCTGGGATCGTCAGAGGCTTTTCAAAGCATTTTTTTCTGCAACCTCTTGGCCGAAGAGGTGGTTAAAAAAAATGCTTTGAAGTCTCTGACGATCCTAGCTGAGTTGCCTGATCGGCAGAGGTTTTTCAAAGCATTAGAAAAAATGCTTTGAAAAGTTAAAAAAAAGTTGGCCACACCCACCCAGCCACATTACATCCCCCCCCAAGCCACGCCCACCGAACCGGTAGTAACAAATTTTACATTTCACCCCTGAGCTAAGGGTCCATCCCATATGCATTCCAGAAGCATTCAGAGAACTGATGGAAAGATATATACCACTCTCTCCCTTGATCCCAGGTGGAAGGTATTGCTTACTTAAGGAGTTAAGAATTGATGGCCCTCCATAAACTGTAAAGCTACCACTGCCATAAACACCACCAAACAGGACCAACAGGATATGGGCAGTCCTTGACTTACAACCATTCATTTAGTGATCGTTTGAAGTTACAGCACTGAAAAAGAGACTTGTAAGTATAACCAGTCCTCACACTTACGACCATCACAGTGTTCCCATGGTCACGTGATCAAGATTTGGGCCCTTGGCAACCAGCATGTATTTATGACGGTTGCACTGGCCCAATTGGGTCACGTCATCCCAATTGGCTTCCGATAAAGTCAGTAGAGAAAGCTGGATTCGCTAAACAACTGCAGTGAGACATTTAACAACAAAAAATGGGTTATAAACTTGGGCACGATTCGGTTAACCACCGCCTTTGCTCAGCCACAAAAAAATCCTGGTCCCAATTGTGGTCGTGAGTCTGTCGTAAGTCTAGGACTATTTGCTTTGGCTGCTAGCAGCATCTGAAAGGTTACAGGTTTGCCATTAGTTTGAGGAAAGCAGCCATGCCGTTTAAGCTGGTTTTGGAGGTTCCGTTGAGTGTGAACAGGAGAAAAATAAACCACCTTGCAAAGCTGAGCTATTTGTCATCTGGTTGATTCTACAGCACGGGTCTCCAACCTTGGCCACTTTAAGCCTGGCGGACTTCAACTCCCAGAATTCCCCAGCCAGCAAAGCTGGCTGGGGAATTCTGGGAGTTGAAGTCCGCCAGGCTTAAAGTGCCAAGGTTGGAGACCCATGTTCTACAGTATTGGGCAGGCCCAAAGCAAGGGCCTCTACATTTAGCTGCAGACCTGTTCATCACCCATGTGGTGAATCGATACCAAGCAAGGGCTTCTTCTAATGGGCTTCTGCACCTGAAACATTGAATGAAGCTTTCTTGGGTCCCCAAAGGATTATAACATGGAGAAAGAACAAACATAATATATCAATAAGCCTTGGCCGATAGAGATCCATTATTGTAGAACCGTATTTTTCAAACTTGGGAAGTTTTAAGATGTGCCAACTTCAACTTCCAGAAGCATGCTGGTTGGGGAATTGTGGGAGTTGAAGTCCGCGCGTCTTAAAACTTGCGTGTTTTAGAAAACTTGCTTTAGAAGCAATCGGATCATTCGTCATCTAGCTTGGCAGCCGGGTATGGTTTAGCAGCTCCAATATCCATCCTCCCCAGCTGGGCCAATCACTGAGGATAATGGGCGCCAAAGTCCAATGTCATCCAGAGGCCATCCGTGTTTTTCTTTAAACGGATGCTTTTCCAGTTACTTTGATAGCAGCAGTGTTTGTCGATGAAAAATACATCTTGATTTGCCATCGAACTTTACGCTTCTTTTTTTTAAGAGGGTCCAGCCCTCCAGCTGCCCCCAGAATTGGAAACACAATTAAATTAAAAATTCTCCTCCCCCACATATTCTTCCCACCACCACTTCTGTCCCATAATCTAGCAGGATTGTAATCCCTGTGTATGTGTGTATTTGTGTGTGTGTCTCTCTCTCTTCCCACAAATTTCCATCTTCACGTTGAACAAGTCCACAAGATCTGGTTTTCCTTCTGTACGTCCAGCGTCCTATCATTCGAACCATGCCAGTGCCGGGGAAAAAGCAGAAACCAGCAAAAATATACATATTTATCCACACAGTGGGCCTAAAGAGGCGTTTCTGGGTTGGGCATCAGCTGCCTGTAAGTCTCATGAGTTTGGGTGGATGTGTTCACATGCCAGGGCAGAGAAACGCGTTCCGCTGAAACATGCTTTTGAGGAAAGGATAGGAATACTTAACACTACTTAATGCAGGATCTTCTCTACCGAATAGCATTTCACATTCATTTCACCAGTATGCCCAAAGTCCGCTGGATCCTTAAAAAGGTGCAATTACATTCAACAGCGACTGCAGATCACCGCAGGTCAACTGCAAGAGGAGGAGGAGGAGGAGGAGGAGGAAAGCCAGGGTCACACAATCTTGTGGTTGACCCTTGATTTAAAATAAACCACAGGGTCAATTCTGCTTTCCCCCCATTCCAGAAGCCACAAAAAGTTTTGCCCTGCAAATTCTGCTTTAGCTCTCCTGAGGGTTGCTGTAATGGAGCTCCGAATTGAACACTTCTTTGTAGAGAGGAGGGAAATTTTTGGCCGTCTCTGGATGGACAAGGCGAAAAAGCTCCAGTTTATCTAAGTGAAGGCTGCAGATTGTCTTCATCAAGGGGAGCTTGGCAACCATCTGTGGGAAGGAAAAGGAGATGGGTTAGAGTAGGGACCTTGGAGGCCTTAATTAATTTAAAAAAACAAACAAAATCTGGAACTCCTGATTGAGAAGCAAAGCTACATGTTAGAAATTTGGCTGTTTTTGAATGTTTTCCCTCCCTGAATCTCATGGAACTCCCATCAAGTTCTCGTTGAAATTCAGAATACAGTTGGGAAAAACTTGGGGTTAGATAGCAGGGCTCAAAGTGAGATCTACCAATTATGAAGAAATAGAAGGAGGAGACTGAATGTATACAGCTGCATATAAAGAAAAGCATAAAGAAAAAAGAAAAGGAAAAAATACAGGTAGTCCTCAACTTACAACCATTTTTAGTGACTGAAGTTACAATGACACTGCAAAAGTGACTCACAACCAGTCCTTGCAATTGTAACCATTGTAGCATCCCCACAATCACATGGTCAAAATTTTGGGTATTGGGCAACCAGGATGGATTTAGGACAATTGCTGTGTCTTGGGCCATTTGTAACCTTCCCATCAGGTTCCAACAAATAAAGTCAATAGAGGAAATTGGATTTCCTTAACAACCATGTGATTTACTTAACAAATGCAGTAATTTGCTTAACAACCGTGGCAAATAAAGATTGTTTAGCAATAGAAATTCCGCCAGGCCAGGCTATCAATGTAATGATTTTAAATTGGGTGTTTTAAATTTTTGGGGTTTTAAATCTGAGTCGAAATTATTTAATAATTTTAATTATTTTTAATTGATGTCTATCTTTGTGCTTTTAATAGGCTGTACACCGCCCTGAGTCCTTCGAGAGGAGGGCGGTATAGAAATAAAATTATTTATTTTTATTTTATTTATTTATCCCAGCTGTGATGGTAAATCGAGGACTGCTTGTGCAGTAGTCAATAAGTATTATAACAGAACCTGCTTCCCCCCCAACTGTTTACAACCCCATTTCAAAGTTATAGCCCTGAAGCACTCTTGCAGTCATTCATCCTTATGGCCGAATGCAAATATGCTGCAACATTTCCGCCTCTCTCTCCTCCCCATCTTGCATCTCCAGGACCCCAAAGGCCCTGGGCCTACTCCCCTGTTGGCCATTGCACGCTTATCTTTTGAAGAACTCCAGACCTCATGTTGGGGAAGGAAGTCAGGCCGTGTCTCCCTAGGACATGTGGCTGCCTCCTGGAAGCGGCCATCATTTTCATTGTACCTGTGATTTCTTGAAGGTGGGCCAAAATGATGTCCACTTCCATGAGGCCGCTGCATAACCAAAGGATGAATCACTCCATTTTGCTGCCTTAACACAATCTCCAAGGGCCTCCTTCACTCTATGCTCTGCTTAAACCTCCCACATATTCATTTAACAGCCAAATTAGGGAGAGGAGGGGGTGGAGGTCATTAATTGAGGCCTTCTCACTTAATGGCATCACCACTTGTGACCATAATGGGCAGGGTCCATTACACTTGTGTCTCGTGGGCCACCTCAAGGATTAGCTGTAAAACACTTTCTATTGCATGCTGAAAAAGGACTAAGGAGACACCCCAGCCTTTAAAGGGTTAATTTAAAGAAATGGCCTTCTCTTTGTATGCCAGTCCATGACATCCGTCCCCAAGAGGGTCTGCAGGGAGGTGAAAAAAGTCGAGCTGATGGAGAAAAACATGCAATCAAGCCATGTAATGTGTCAACTCATGTAAAAAAGAGACAAGGTCCTGATTCCATGGTTGTGGCCACCATCTTGACTTTTTTGACCCTTCCTACAGACACACCTGTCTGCCTCCAAGGATACCCCATCCATTCCATCTATCCCTCGTTTCCCTGGGCTCAAGACTAAGCCAACATTTGGCCTATTCAAACCAAAGGGTAGTTTTGAGCTCCCTCCGTTTAATTTACTTTCTCATCAATAGCTATTGAATGTTTGGAAATCTTGGAATTAGCCCCAGTACAGGGGTGAAATCCAGCAGGTTCTGGCAGGTTCTGGAGAACCAGTAGTGGAAATTTTGAGTAGTTCAGAGAACCAGCAAATACCACCTCTGGCTGGCCCCAGAGGGGGTTGGGAATGGGGATTTTGCAATATCCTTCCCCCAGAAGTGGGGAGGAAATGGGGATTTTGCAATATCCTTCCCCTGCCATGCCCACCAAGCCACGCCCACCAAGCCACACCACACCACACCACCAAGCCACGCCCACAGAACCGGTAGTAAAAAAAATTGGATTTCACCATGCCCTAGTGTGTATCAATATATTTCTCTTGTGTATTAGTCTGCCTCCTTCCCATTTTAATTCTTTAAAATGTTATATTTACCTTGGAAAGCCTGTCTTCATTGGCATTTTTCTTTTGAATCTCATGCTGGAGAGCCATGTAGAATTTATCCTGGAGTTTTTGTACTTTTTTGGACTCAGAGAGCCAAGGCCGATCTGAAAAAGGACAACACATGTTGGTGTTTTTTTAGAATTGCAAAATTTTAGGGGAGGGGAAAAAAATCTGCTTTCGGTTATTTTCAGTTGTAACAAATATTCTGTGGAAAGCGTGGATTTGTTATGAGGTGAGGTTCATAAAGTGCACAAATGGCATTTAAGGCATAGTATGATTTGATTATTTTTATATATTTATATAACAAAAATATATTTAAATATAAGAAATATAGCTATAATCTAGCTATAATCCAGTTTGGCTGGTAAAACATGATTTATGGCTTATGGGGACGTGTAAACCCAACTATTGTGGCTTATTCAGAAAAAGAAAACATCATTAAAACCAACGTTTAAGCCCAGACTCTGTGAATATGTGTGTGAGAGAGAATAAGGGTACAAGTGTGAGCACATGTTGCAGAGGACATCAATAAGGCAGAGCACACATTAACTGCCCCCCAAGAAAAGTTACCCAACCTGATGCCCTTCACTTGAACTAAAATTACAATTATTGATTCCAAGAAATCTTGAAGGATCTCGTGGAAATGGTCTACCACACAAATGGACCAGAAGTGGGTTTCAGCAGGTTCTGACCAGTTCTGGAGAACTGGTAGTGGAAATTTTGAGTAGTTCGGAGAACCGGTAGTAAAAATTCTGACTGGCCCCACCCCCGTCTATTCTCTGCCTCCCGAGTTCCAGCTGATCGAGAGGAAATGGGGATTTTGCAGTAACCTTCCCCTGGATTGGGGATGGAATGGAGATTTTACAGTATCCTTCCCCTGGAGTAGGGTGGGAATGGAGATTTTACAGTATCCTTCCCCTGTCATGCCCACCAAGCCACGCCCACCAAGCCACACCCACAGAATCGGTAGTAAAAAATTTTGAAACCCACCACTGAAGTGGACCATACATTATATAGCCGATCTTTAGGTCCAATAAACTCTGTGTTGTATTTCATCCTAATTAAATCTTTCTTTGCTTTAAACTCCACCATTGGTACCAAGAACAACTACCCCTTGGAGCAATGCTTGTGCATTCTGTCATCACTGGCTAAGAGGAATGAAATGTCGATGCTGCTAGATAAACCAGCTATCGATTCATTTTGGATAGTGACAAATGTTTCTCCCCTCTTCTCCTTTTGATCACATACCTGGTGTGAACAGGACAACTGCAGTGAAGAGTGCTACTTCTTCATCAGACAGCTGCAGTCGGCAAAGATTCTTCCCCAGCTCAAAGATGGAGCTGATCAAGTCATCACAACCTAAGGGAACAAGGAGTTGTTATTATTTATTTATTTATTTATTTATTTATTTATTTATCAATTAATTAATTAATTAATTAATTAATTAATTAATTAGATTTCTATACCACCCTTCTCCTTCCGGACTCAGGGCGGTGAACAGCCAAGTATAAAACGTTCATACACAAAAGTTAAAATAGATTTAAAATAATTAAATAAAATTTGGCCCATAATTTAAAACATTTCAATTAAAATCAATATCAAATTTTAAAACCAACCAAAAATCAGGACAGCCCGGCTAACTGGAAAAAGTAGGTTTTAAGGGCCTACTTAAAACCTACTGTAGCTGGGATATGAACACGAAGTTGGATAATTTCATATTTTCAAATCAGTGCATTCACTATCACCTAATAGTTCTGCAGCACTGCAATTATTTTAAAGTCTGGAGAAGTATCTTTCCAGGTAGTCCATTTAATACTATGTTAAAGGACTGAGCTAGTTATACATTAAACTTTTTTTCAGTTTATTTATTTTAATCACTGGTTTTTCTCACAATAGAGCTATAATTATAACCAACTGACAGACTGATTCTCCATGCAGCTAACCAATGCCTCTTTCAAAACTGCTGGGGGGATTATCAATACACCTTCAGATAGAAAATTCCAAAACTACCTAAAGGCTTTGTGTTCCAATATCTCAGGGGCTGCCACAAAGAAGAGGGAGTCAAGCTATTCTCCAAAGCCCCTGAGGGCAGGACAAGAAGCAATGGGTGGAAACTAATCAAGGAGAGAAGCAACCTAGAACTAAGGAGAAATTTCCTGACAGTTAGAACAATTAATCAGTGGAACAACTTGCCTTCAGAAGTTGTAAACACTCCAACACTGGAAGTTTTTAAAAAGAGATTGGGCACTCATTTGGCTGAAATGGTATAGGATTTCCTGCCTAAGCAAGGGGTTGGACTAGAAGACCTCCAAGGTCCCTTCCAAGTCTGTTCTGTTCTGTTCTGCATAATGCAAAAGGAGGGAGGTCTTTTCCTGTCCTGGATCTCCCAACATTTACCTTCATTAAATGAGTCCTGTGGGTTTTATTGTCTTGAGAAGGGGAGGAAAACCTCTCCCATTTATTTCCTCAATCCATCATTTTATTTCCCTCTGGACTTGCCTCGATGCATAATTTTATGGTGGTCTAATTTATCCGCCTGTTCTTTTAATTGTTGCAACATTTCTTCCAATTGCTTGAAAGAAATAGTTGCTTTGATTCTACAGCCTTTCCAATTCTATTATTCCAATTCTATTGAGTACATGATTGTACGTACTCAAACTTGCACGCGCATACCTATAGTGAGAAAGAGCACACATAGAAGCAATCAGAAAATTATGAAAGGTGCTCATTCATAGAATACATACTATATATGTATTCTATCTGAACAAGAAGCCATGGGTGGAAACTAATCAAGGAGAGAAGCAATTTAGAACTAAGGAGAAATTTCCTGACAGTTAGAACAATTAATCAGTGGAACAACTTGCCTAGAGAAGTTGTGAATGCTCCAACAGTGGAAGTTTCTAAGAAGATGTTGGATAAACATTTGTCTGAAGTGGTGTAGGGTTTCCTGCCTAAGCAGGGGGTTGGACTAGAAGTCCTCCAAGGTCCCTTCCCACTCTGTTATTCTATTCTATTCTATATCCTGGTTACTGAATAAAATCATAAACATCAAAAAGTAAAGGTTTGCACAAAGTGCTAAAACCATGCAAAAACTAACTGGTTAACCTAGCCAAACTTAGCATGTTCTGTTAATGCAACAGCTGGGTCTTTAATTTGGATGTCTGCAGGGAGGGGGAGTCAAGAACATCAATATGGTAGCCACAACTGTACAATCAAGGCTGTACTCACTTTTATGTGCATCTTTTTTTACATAAAAAACAGATGGGTTTCAATTGCACAGCTGCCATATTGACTGTTTTCATGCCTCCTGCGGACATCCTGTGGTGTGTGAGCACAGCCAATATATTATATATAGTGTAATTACCCAGCAGATTTGTATAAACATAATGAATATATCAGCTGTTCCATGAATTTCTCTTTCTCCCCCACTCAAATTTCCACCCTTCTTAATGGTAAACCTAATTCCTCTCATTCTAGCCAGCAAGAAGTTAGGATCGCAATACATGATTGTACCAAGATGGCCACCAATCCACTCAGAATGTCTCATTTGCATCTTCAGAAGGGCACCTCCTCTGCTTTCTTACCGAGTGACTTAAACATCTGCATCCCGCCATATTTTCCGGCAAAAAGTACGGTGTTGTTCAATGGGTTGAAGGCCCGCGTCATTCGGATGAGGAGAATCTCTAGACAACCTGGTGAAAACCAAGGGTAGCAAAAAAAGAAGGGAGGGAGGGAGGGGGGGAGGGAGGGAGGAAGGAAGGAAGGAAGGAAGGAAGGAAGGAAGGAAGGAAGGAAGGAAGGAAGGAAGGATATTTCCATAGTTGCAAGAAGAAGAATAAGGAAAAAGGAAGGGTGGGGGAAGTAGAGAAAAGGAAGTCCACCCACAAAGTCCACATGTAACAATTCCATGTTATTAATTAATAATAACAGTACATGTAATTAAAAATGTGGAAAGGTGAAGAATTGAAGCCAGAAGAAGGGAGTGGATGGAGCAGAAGATAAAGCCAACAAAAAGGGAGAAAAGGAGAAGGAGGAGGTTAGAGGTATCTTAGACTTAGATTAGCTACTTCAAGCGATGAAGTAGTAAATTTCAGCAGTAAGTAGCATGGGGCAAAGGTGTCTCCAACCCCCATTTCTGCTGCCTTTCCTTGACAATTTGAACCCCCTGCCTACCCAGTAACGAGATGCTCCCAAGGTTTTATCAAAAACGTCTATCAGGATTGATTTGTCCAATCACATGTGTCCTTGGAGAAGAAACAGAACGGAAGCTTCTTTCTACTAATGATCTGATCTACTTCTCCTCCTCCACAGAGATTAGGGTTTCACTCACATGGGCATGACCCCATTTTGACTTTTTTTTATGCCCCACAAAATGCCCGTTTACACTCTACCCCCTGTTTCTTTCATTTCTTGAACAACAACTAAATCAGGGTTTCCAACCTTGACAGCTTTAAGACGTGTGGTCTTCCAACTCCCAGAATTTCCCAGCCAGCATGTCTTAACGTTGCCAAGGTTGAGATGTCCATGCATCTTAAGGTTGGGAAATCCTGATCTAAACAAACCTTAACCCCAAAATCCAAACTAGGGTTTCCGATCTTGGCAATTCTAGGAGTTGGAAGTCCATGCGTCTTAAAGTTGTCAAGGTTTGGCAAACCCTGATCTAAACAAACCTAACCCCAACTCTCTTACCTGCTTTGAGAAGAATGATTTGGTCATTCTGGCACAGCTCCATGAAGCCATCAATGCGCTTAGCAAACTCCACGATGTACTGGATGGCATTGGAGATCTGGACGGCACACTCTTGCCACATCACCTCGCAGTTCTGCAGAGCAACAGATGGAGAAATGTCCATTAACATGAACAGTGTTGAATGCTTGATGATATGCAAGGGATTATATGCACACGGCCCTCATTCACAATCCTTCTGAGCCCCAAGGCTGAGATGAACCTCCATCTTGGCACCAGCCTAATGTTGGGGCAAGTAATGGCCAGATCGAAGAGATCTAATAGTGCTTTCCATTAGAAAATGGAACATACCATCAGCATCAGGGGTGGGCTGCTGGGGGTTCGCAGGGGTTCGGGAAAACCTTTAGCTAAGATTCTGTGCAGTTCAGAGAACCCCCAAATCCCACTCCTGACTGGCCCCGGCCACCTCCCCTCCCCTCCCAAGAGCGGCCCGTTTTGGATGCAGGTAAGTGCAGGGCGTGCATGGAGGCTTGGGGAGGGCAAAAAACGGGCCTATTGGAAGTTCAGCAAGGCTGGAAATGGGCCCGTTTCTGGCCTCCAGAGGGCCTCTGGAGCTTGGGGAGGCTGTTTTCGCCCTCCTGGAGGCTCGAGGAAAGCCTCCGGAGCCTGGGGAGGGCAAAAACACACCCTCTGCCATGGTGCAGGAGGCCGACTAGGCCACACCCACCATGGCCACGTCCACTCAGCAACCAGGCAGAGAACCCCTTGCTAAAATTTTTGAAGCCCACCCCTGACCAGCATGTATGGGAGAGAGACATCAAAAAAGTCAAAGAGATGGCCACCACCACATGGTTGAAGCCCTGTCCTTTCTGTGCCTGTGATGCATAGAAAAGGGGTAGGACATCCATTGCACAGCTATGACCACCATTTTGACTTTTTTTGGCCACTCAAAAATGCCTTCAGAATAAGCCCTCCTCTATGAAAGCATCCTGATTTGCCAGGAGAAACCTGAGGGAGGTTGGTGATCTGTAGCCCTCCAAGTAGCTGGCCCACCTCCTTTCTGGCTTTAGACCTCTATGGCTCTTTTGTTGGCTAAGTAACGTTTCTCAAACTTGACCATTCCCAGGAGTGTGGACTTTAAATGCCAGAATTCCACAGACAGCAAGGCTATGGATGAGAATTCTGGGAGCTGAAGTCCACGTATCTGGTAGTCCCGATGGTTGGGGAGCACTGGCATTAGCACCTCCTTGGCCACTGAGGCCTTTTTTTTTAGCAATGGGAATGTTGACCTGTTGAAAGACCTTCCTATTTGTAATTTTTAAAAACCCTATTGATTTATTAAATTTATAAGACAAAATAATTGTTCTAGTTTTGACTCTCTCTGTCTTTCCAATCTCTTCCGCTTGGGATAATATTGCTGTTGTTGCTTCTCTAAAATCTATCATTCAGAAAGGCAATATCATGCTTTCCTTGAGTATGATAGAAAAGCCCATTGTTTGGAGAGGGGCAGGACGAAGAACTCACAGTCACAGTTATTAACAGTTGTTAATAATGGCAGCTAAGTCTAGAACCGTGATGGCGAACCTATGGCACGCGTGCCACAGGTGGCACGCGGAGCCATATTGATGGGCATGCGAGCGTTGCCCTAGCTCAGCTCCAGCACACATGCACACGCCAGCCAGCTAATTTTCGGGCTTCCGGGCCCCCGGAAGTCAGGAAACTGGCTGTTTCTGGCCTCTGGGGGGGAGGGGGAGGCCATTTTTGCCCTCCCCAGGCTCCTAGAAAGCCTCTGGAGCCTGTGGAGGGCGAAAAACGGGCCATCCGGTCCCACTGGAAGTTGGGAAACAGGTCGTTTCCGGCTTCCAGAGGGCCTCCAGGGGGAGGGAGGAGGTCGTTTTCACCCTCCCCAGGCTCTAAGAAAGGAATTATGGGTGTGGGCGCACGTGTGTGTGACCCCCCCACGCTCCCCCCACTTTTGGCACGCAACGGCAAAAAGGTTAGCCATCACTGGTGTAGAAGCACTATACCTTAGTACAGACAATCCATTAGGTATGTTTTCTCCAACCTTGTTTTGTGACTCTTCTGCTGTTCCCTGTTCCACTAGCACAGGGGTGGGCAACTATGGTCCCTTTAGGACCTGTGGACTTCAGCTCCCAGAATTCCTGAGCCAGGTTGTAAAGGTACCATAGTTGCCCACCTCTGCACTAGTAGCTCAGATTAAGAGGGATTCCTAACCTAATCTTGCAGGAGATACTTACCGTGTTCTGCATGGTCCTTATCTCCTCCTGAGAGTAGAGCGCCCAGGCGAACCGCTGCAGCTCCTCGCTGGTGTACTGCAATGTCTCAAGGTGCGACTTCACCACATTCTGGGCTAGGCGCTCTGGCAATACAACATACAAAGACTCTTAAGCATTGTGCTCATTGTCGCCAAACTGGGAAATTATTTGGCAGCTCTGACTGTCTCACAAGGGCCATACATAAATCACAGTGCTGTTAAGACTGTTGTTTGAGAAAAGACAGCCTCCTGGTTTTGCATTGATCGATTCTTTGCATTGACTGATTCACCAATTCATATTGATTCATTCATTGTTTTGGGATTCTTTTATTAATGGATTTAGATGAGTATCTTAGCCAACCCAAAAGAAATATCCTAAAACTGAACATGAAATAAAAAAATATATAAATATAAAGCCAGTTTGGTCTAGTGGCTAAGGCACCAGGCTAGAAAGCAGGAAACCATGAGTTCAAGACTTGCCTTAGCTACAATAGCCAGCTGGGTGACTTTGGGCCAGTCAATCTCTCTCAGCCCAACCCCATCTCACAGGGTTGTTGTTGTGTGGAAATAGGAAGATGTGTTAGATATGTTTGCCACCTTGACCTCATCTTTTGATTACAGTGTTGTGGTCCGCCAGCAGCCTGCGGACCTGGCAGTGGAGTCGGACAGTGAGGAGGCTGGGGAGGACAATGGGCCAGTCCTGGAGTCAGGGGAAGGCCTGGACAAGGGCTCTGTGTCGGAGGCAGAGATGGGGCAGAACCATCTGGGAAAAATGCACAAACTCCGGAGCCTCCAGAGGCGGATAGCAGAGAGGCAGAGGAACAGGAGGAGCCTGTTTCTAGTGCACGCATGCGAAGAGCTGCCAGAAGGCAAGAGCAGCTGAAGAAAAAAGGACAACTCAGGAGTAAGGCCAGAAGATGATTGGCCACTCCCATAAGCCTTAAAGGAGCAGCAACGAACCGTTGGGTTCTTTGTAGAAAAGCAACCTTGATTCTAGTGCTTCTTGTCAGCGTCTCTTGAACTTTGTGGGGTTTTTGTCAAGAAAAGCCTTTGGCAGGTTGCCAAAAACATCAAAGGTTGGTGATAAGGCCAGACAGACTGGTTATTAAGAATTTTGTTTTGGACTAAGCTGAGGATGAATTAATTCTCAGCTGTTTTAATAAAATAAATTTGTTGAAGACTGAATTGTGTTTGGTAATCACTACTTGGGCCTTGGTCACAACATACAGTATCTAACCGTTATGAGTCAGAAAGTCAGAAAGCAACATTTTAGTAGGTTTAAACTCCAACATCTATCCAGCATAACCCATCCCGATATGTCATGTCATGTCATGTCATAAACTCAGAAGCACAAAATATTTGGCACCTCTGCATGCCAAGTATCGAATGTGGGGAAGACAGAGAATGAAGGGGTGGGCGATGGGGCCAGGAATGATCCCACTAATCACTGCATGATAATTGCTTACAGTTACATGACTGAGTGACTGAGTACGCTTAGATACTGCAATTAAAAGTTGAGCTGATGTTAAACACCAAAACAAGATAAATGGATTAGGCAGAAGTCAAGGAGAACATAAGGTCAGTTAGTAGCATTAGCTATGCTGATTAGCTCCATCTTCAGGATGTTTCACAAATGTCTTTCCCATCAGGTATAATGGTGGAAGATCTCAGGAATTAAATTCAAGATCTCTGCTCCCAAGGCATTTGTTCCAAATCAGGCCATTGACTATCTTTTGGGGATACTGCATTGGTCTCCTCAGATTCAGAGGTAGTGAGGCTTGATCCAGAAGATCCGGTAAGGTGATCAACTACAGCAGGTAACGTGTTTCCCCGAAAATAAGACCCTGTCTTATATTTTTTTGAACCCTGAAATAAGCGCTTGGCCTTATTTTCGGGGAGGTCTTATTATTTTGAGGCATGTGGAACAAGATGGGGCTCCTCTTGCCATTTTACCTGATTTCCAGCTCTGCGTTTAAATATTTTTGGGGAGGGCTTATTTTTGGGGGGGAGGCTTATTTTAGTGCATGCGCTCAAAAGCCCGATTGGGCTTATTATCAGGGGATGGCTTATTTTGGGGGAAAAAAGGGTAGGAGAGAGGCGTCTCAACCTTTGCAACTTGACGATGTGTGGACTTCAACTACCAGAATTTCCCAGCCAGCCGTGGTTGGCTGGGGAATTCTGGGAATTGAAGTCCACACATCTTCAAACTGCCAAGGTTCCTGAAACTCTGTTTCTGAAAGATCACCCAGCTGGAGGGCACATTGGAAACTCTGAAGGGCTTAGCCAAGAGACCAACTTTAAAAGGATTTAGAGCTGACTTTAGGAAAGCCATTAAGGAGGGATTTGCAGAAGAGATCACACAGTCCAGAGACAGAAGCAAGTGTGAGAGAGAAAGTTAAAAATAACTCTGCTTGATTCGGTATAAAATGGGACAGAGGGGAACTTAAGATACAACAATGAAGTCACATTCTGGAATCCCAGCTTATCTGTTTGTTCATTTTGCCTATCTCCAAGGCCTGATATGCATGCCACGCTTTCTTTCTTTCTTTTTCTTTCTTTCTTTCTCTTTCTTCTTTCTTTCTCTTTCTTTCTCTCTCTCTCTCTCTCTCTCTCTTTCTTTCTTTCTTTTTCTTCCTTCCTTCCTGTCTTTCTTTTTGACTTGTATGCTGCCCAACTCGCTTAGGTGTTAGATATTATAACACCCACTGGCAGTTGGCATCTTCATTGTAAGAACCACCTGTACCAACCTCGACTCTGTGTTCCTGGATTTGTTATTCTGTTTGCATCCTGAGCCTCAGCAATTTCACCCTGGGTCAGTTGATCAATCTTCTGGACCAGGGGTCTCCAACCGTGGCAACTTTAAGACTTGTGGACTTCAACTCTGGGAGTTGAAGTTCACAAGTCTTAAAGTTGCCACGGTTGGAGACCCCTGTTCTGGACAACTTGAACTATTGGGGACTATAATTACCCATGCTCTGTTTCGGGATTTCGACGTCACTCTCTCAGGCAAGACCACAAGCTCTTTGTAAATGTTGCAGGAACATGCATGCAGTTCCACCCACCAACTCTCTGCCGGTTGTGTGTATGGGTACTCCTTGCTTAATGACCAGCTGCTTAAGAGACTGTTTGAAGTTACGATGGACTTCACCAAAGCTACCTAAGACTTGCTTCCAGAATTCCAATGGCCATGCATCTCCCCTCCCCCAATGGTCATGCGATCGCATTTCAGGCACTTGGCAACTGGCTCAACTTTATGGCCAGTTGCAGTATTGCAGACGTTTGACTGCGATTTTTGGCGGGCTTTGCTGATTTCCAGTATTTACTTCTAGTTTCTGGCAAAAAAACACCCATTGAGTACAATGGGTTTGTTTAATGAGCACAGTGTTCTCTTAAAGAAACCACCACATTTGTTTGCTTATGAGAGTGTTTGCTTCACAACTGCCACAAAAGGGTCATAAAATTGGGCGCGGCCATGTGGTGACCTGCTTAACGACTGCCATGACTTCTGACTGTAATTCCAGGTTCACTTATGGTCAATTATGGTCAGACATTGGGGGCCACCTGTAATGACTTCTTACGCTCGAGTAAGCTACTTGCAACCAGTTCAATGCAAACGCAATCAGCCTAAAACTGGACAGTTCAGAGATTATATTTAATTCTTTGGTGATCTGGCCTTAGTGAGCAGGTCAATATATATATATTTTTTAAAAATTTGATTTATATGCCGCCCTTCTCCAGAGACTCAGGGCGGCTTACAGTGCATTAAGCAATAGCCTTCATACTTTTGTATATTTATACGAAGTCAGCTTATTGCCCCCACAAACTGGGTCCTCAATTTACCTACCTTAGAAAGGATGGAAGTCTGGTGAGATTCAAACTTACAGTAATTGCAGACAGCTGCTGTTAATCACAATGCTATTAGTCTGCTGAGCCACCAGGCCCTTGCCTGTGTAATGAACATTGCAATGTTGCAATGAAGCAACGTTGTTAGTTTAGGAAATATTCTGTGTGTCAGCCGAATCTCCAGCATAGGCTTCGACTCTGCAGCATGCTTGCTGTTGGCTGCCATAGTAACCGGGGGGGAGGGCATGGCATTTGGGTTGGGGAAGTGAGCTAGTGCGGTGAAGTCCCACGTGAACTGAAGAGGACTCCAGATGGGTGAAATACCTGAAGATGAGCCTCATCATACTGGATGTTGATTGGACCCTCAGCACTGGGCCCTGGTGGGGAGGGATTTGGGGAAAATTTCAATCTGTAATCAATCGCACGTTTTGAATCAGATCTTGCCTTGCTTTCGCTGCCATCATTTCAAACTCAGTAAAAGTACCTCTTTTCTATCTCAATGCAGTTGAGGGTTTTCTTTTTGGGGGTTTTGAACGGAGGCAGGCCTGACGCTGTGGTTGTTTTGTTTTTAAACTGTTCGCTCCATTTGATAGCATAGAAAATGGTTTTTAGATATTTCCCATCTTAAAATGCAAGAAATTTGGACCACTGACTTCTAGCAAATATAGTCAGAGAGTGCTCTGGAGTCTTTTTCCTGACAGTTGGAACAATTAATCAGTGGCTTTTGGGTTATTTCCAGTTCTTGTGCTGCAGATAGCTTAACTCTTTTTAAACTGTTAAACAATCAGGACTAGAAGCATGCATGAACACAGAGAGGGAAACAGGTGCTGATACAGCATGGATAACACTGGCAGCCTCTATAATGGCTAGTAGTGGCCTTTGTCTCTCCTCTTATGTGCTGGAAGAGATCTGGCTGCCACAAGCAGAGAGAGTATTATACTAACCCATTTCCATCACTGAAATGTCCGAAGTCAACGCGTTGCTTTCAAGGGGGCCATGAGGAAAGAGGCTAGGTTCCAGCATGAGCTCGTAGATGGACTCCTGTTTAATGAACTTGGTGTCACTGACGTCAATGCTGGACTGGTCGGGCGATGGCTGCGCTGAGGTCAGGAGATCCAGGTTGTAGTAGCTGCTGTTCCCGTCGGGGCTCAGGGGAAAATCAAAGAGGAAGCTGTCCGACAACATGGAGATGTCATCCAGGTCAGAGAGTCCGCTGCTCACGCTGGTGGTGTAGACCCTCGACAAGGTCTCTGGGTCCTCCTTGGCTCCCACGCTTTGTTCTTGGCTTTGTTGGTGTTTCTGGACCTCGGCATAGAGGCTGTCCCGCTGCTTCTTCGACATGCGGCCAAACTTTACTGCTGCAAGCCGATTACCGCAAAACAAAGAGAGCAAAACCAAGCGTGAGGATAGCAATAGCACTTAGACTTTTATACCACTTTACAGAGCCACAGTGGCTAGAATGCAGTACTGAAGGCTACTTCTGCTGATTGCCGGCTGCCTGCAATTTGGCAGTTCGAATCTCACCAGGCTCAAGTTTGACTCAGCCTTCTATCCTTCCGAGGCCGGTAAAATGAGGACCCAGATTGTTGGGAGCAATAGGCTGACTCTGTAAACCGTTTAGAGAGGGCTATAAAACACTGTGAAGTGATATATAAGTCTAAGTGCTATTGCTATTACAAATCTCTCTAAGTGGTTTACAGAGTCAGCCTATTGCCCCCAACAATCTGGGTCTGCATTTTGCCAACCTCGGAAGGATGGAAGCATCTAGAGAACTGGTAGCAGAAATTTTGAGTAGTTCGGAGAACCGGCAGTTCAGAGAACTGGGGTGGGAATGGAGATTTTGCAATATCCTTCCCCTAGGAGTGGGGAGGGAATGGGGATTTTGCAGTATCCTCCCCCTGGAGTGGGGAGGGAATGGGCATTCTGCATTATCCTTCCCTTGGAGTGGGGAGGGAATGGGCATTCTGCATTATCCTTCCCCTGCCACATCCACCAAGCCACACCCACAGAACCGGTAGTAAAAAAATATGGATTTCACCACTGGATGGAAGGCTGAGTCAACTCTGAGCTTGTGAGAACCGAACGGATGGCAGTTGGCAGAATTAGCTGCAATGCAGCAGTCTAATCACTATGCCACCATGGATGAAGACTGTTGAACTCCCCTAAAGAGATAGAATAGTGATGGTGAACCTAGGACATGCGTGTCGACGCCCCACAATGGTTTGGATGACACTTTAACTCTTGCTTAATGACAACCGCAAAAAAGGCCATAAAAACAGGTTGGTCCTGTGGGTGACCAGCTTTACGACCATCACAACTTACAACCATAATGAGTAGGCTCCACTATGTTTGTAAATCTAGGCCTATAGGTAGTCCTCGATTTACAACAATTTATTTAGTGACCGTTCAAAGTTACAACAGTACTGAAAAAAGTGACGACCGCTACCTGTACTGGCACAACATGATGAATCTGCAACTGCAATATTTCCTTTTGGCCAGAGGTGGCACTGCAGCACAGAAAAATTAGAACGTCCTTCTTTCACTGCCTAAACTCTCCTGGATCTTTGATTAACAACAGAGTTGGAAGGGACCTTGGAGGTCTTCTAGTCAGGGGTGGGTTCTAAAATTTTTTACTACCGGTTCTGTGGGCGTGGCTTATTTTATGGGTGTGGCTTGGTGGTCATGTGACAATTATTTAGGATTCAGCAGAGGTACTGGTCTTCCAGGCTTTTAACTGCTTGCAGAGCTGTACCGGTCTACCCATTTATTTTTGCAGGCACTGATCTACTCGCAGGCAGGCACTGATCTACTCGTGTATTTTTGCAGGCACTGATCTACTCGTGTATTTTTCCAGGCACTGATCTACTCGTGTATTTTTGCAGGCACTGATCTACTCGTGTATTTTTGCAGGCACTGATCTACTCGTGTATTTTTGCAGACACCGGTCTACCCATTTGTTTTCTTTTAACACTGATCAGCTGTAGGGCGGCCCTTTGAAGCCCCGCGGCAAGAGTTTAAACAGTTTTTTTCCCTCTAGCCATCAGCTGGGACTCAGGAGGAAGCAATAGATTGGGGGTGGGGCCAAATAAAAGGTAAGAATAATGCGGGGGGTGGGTAGGGGGGCGCAGAACCGGTTCGGTGACGTCATATCGTCACCGCTACCGGCTCGGCCGAACCGGGCCGAACCGGGGGGAACCCATCACTGCTTCTAGTCCAACCCGCTGCTCATGCAGCAGACCCTATGGCATAGGGCCTATGCCATTTCAGACCAGAATGACCTTTTGAATGCCTAGATTATCTTACATCTGACACGCTTCACGGAGGAACTTGTGGCTTCCTGCATCCATGTTTGGAAACCTGTTTGCTGCCTCCAGCATTCTGCCTCTCCTTTTATAACCCCTGAACCATTCTGATGTCGATTCCCCCCACTGGCTCACCGGTTTTCACCTTCCAGGCTAAATCCAGAACTCACCATCACGGGACATGCCCAGGGCCAGGCACTTCTGCAGTCGGCAGTGCTGACACCGATTTCGGTTGGTCCTGTCGATCAGGCAGTTCCTCTGCCGTGAGCAAGAGTAAGTGGCGTTATTCTGTTGGCTTCTGCGGAAAAAACCCTGCAGAAAAAGGAGGAATATCAACGCTCAGATTTGCAACAAACTGGGGTGGGATGGCATATTATGGAAAATGGCTGGGTGGCAACTATGGCTGTGCGACACTAACCGTCCATTCCAAAGAAGCGTCAAATGCACATCGCTGGGCACTGTCTCATGAATTAAAAGAGGGACAGAGACTTGAGCAATTCAGAACAATTAATCAGTGGAATAACTTGCCTCCAGAAGTGGTGGATGCTCCAACACTGGAAGTTTTGAAGAAGAGATTGGATAACCATTTATCTGAAATGGTATAGGGCTTACTGCCTGAGCAAGGGGTTGGACTAGAAGACCTCCAAGGTCCCTTCCGACTCTGTTACTCAGGGCTGGACAGTGAATGGGAGGATCCAGGGTCAAGTTTTCCATACAGAGGCAGAGCCTCTGGGTAACTCCAGCCAGATCTTCTCATCCTTTCCTAGTCTTCAAGGTGAGTGTTGTGCAGATTACGGAGTCTGAATACAGTATTCAACTAGGGGAAATCATATATATCTATATGTTTGTGTCCTTTTTCTTAACACATTTTTTTTTAATGTCTGTTCTGCCCCAGCTCCAGATTTCCGAGGATACTGACACACACCAACGGTCCTTATCAAATTTATTAAGTAGCAAGAATAAACAAGACCGGCAAAGGTTGGCAACCAGCCCAGAAAACAAGATATGATAAACCAAAATACTCTGATCATAAATACGAGTTGTTTCCAGCAAGAAAGCACTAGCTGCGTGCGACTTAAATAGGCTAAGGGAGTGGCCAATTATCCTCAAGCCCTACTCTCGAGTAGACCTCCTCCTCCTGAGTAGCCACTCCTGCCTTTTGGCAGCCCTGCATGCCTGAGCATTGAGGAGAGGCTCCTCCACTTCGCTCTCTCCACTGGAAGGAACCTCTGGAGGTTCTGAAGGCCTTGGCTGAGTCTCTGCCTCTGGCACCACATCCTCTTCAGCCTCCTCGCTGTCCGACGCGAGCGCTGGCTGCGCAGGCTGCTGGCGTGACACCACACCAGCCTCCTCTTCGTTGGGATCAGCCACGATCCGCGCAGGCCACTGGCGGGCCACAACAATGTCTTGTTGATTTTTCTTTTGTTTTTGTAAAAAAATATTCATATTTTTGGGAATTTATATTTTAACTTTTTGAATAAAAAAAATGAAAAAGTTTTAAAAAAAGAGATTAGAAGGAGTCTGATAGCACCTTTTCCAACTACCCTCTGACAGTGAGAACAATTAATCAACGGAATAGCTTGCCTCTCAGAGTTGTGGGTGTCTCATCACTGGAGGTTTTTGAAAATAGACCAGACAACCATTTGACTGGAACAGTATAAGGCTCCTGCCTCGTTTTGGACTAGAAGACTTCTGAGATCTCTTCCAGCCCTATGATTCTACTGTTAACATTTTATTAAAAAGCATAAGCTTTTGTGAGCTCATTTCATTAGGTGCACAGAATGACTAGACTGATGGAAGATTTAAACAAGGGGTTGGGGAGCGAAGGAAAAGGAAAGAAGAAGTGAAGGAAAAGGAAAACCATCATAGTTTGGTTATGTATGCAGAGGGTCATTTTTAGTCAGCAAAAGTGCTACCCAGACCTCTGGGGTTTTTTTCTCTGCACAGACCAATATTATCCAACCTTGCATGGGAATGTATTTATTTGATGGATACCATATTCTATTTTCCTGTAAAATATGTCTAGGGCGAACTAGCCAATTATCCTAAAACCACCTGAGTCATTTTATAGGGGAGATGGGTGGCCTAAAAATGGAATCAGTGAATTAATAAGCGAAATAAAATACGAACGAAACGTAAGAAAAAAAAATCAAAAGGCATGCGAATATTGCAGCTGATTTCACGCACAGAGCAGCAGAAGAAAACAACAACTCATCTGTAGAGACTAAACTCTTATTTAAAAAAAAAAAAAGACTTGGTAGAAGATTATCTCTAAAAGAAGCTTAGATGAGCTTCTCTTAATAAGGGTTTCCCAAATCTTTAGAACAGCTGAAGTGCACACTAAGTGCACTCAGAACAGTATTACAGCCTCTTCTAGAAAATCTTAACACCAGGGCAGAGAAATTGGCTTTTCTGGCCCTGGGTGCCCCCTTCCTCAAAACACCCCCCCCCCAATCTTACACAATTTCTAAATCTCACCAGACTCTTCCAAGATGTCATGTGAGGAATCAAACTCTCCTAAAATCGCTTGTGAATTTTCAATCTAAGATTCCCAAAGTTCCTAAACCAGGGGTGGGGCTGCTGAGGGTTCGCAAGGGTTCGGGAGAACCTCTAGCTAAGATTCTGTGCAGTTCAGAGAACCTCCAAATCCCACTCTTGGCGGGCCCCGCCTCTCCCGCCCCTCCCAGGAGTCCCCAAGCAGCCCGTTTTGGATGCAGGTATGTGCAGGGTGCGCGCGGAGTCTCGGGGAGGGCCAAAAACAGGCCTACCGGAAGTTTAGGAAGGCCTTCGGAGCTTGGGAAGTTCCAGAGGGCCTCCAGAGACTGGGGAGGCTGTTTTTGCCCTCCCAGAGGCTCAAGGAAAGCCTCCAGAGCCTGGGGAGGGCAAAAACGCCCCCCCCCACCATGGTGCTGGAGGCTGACTAGGCCACGCCCACCATGGCCACACCCACCCAGAAACTGGGCATAGAACCCCTTGCTAAAATTTTTGAAGCCCACCCCTGTCCGAAACTCTTGCATAAAATCCATCATGATTTACCAATCTTGTGAGAAGTTGTTCATTAAAAGAAATTATAACAACTTTGAAATCCTGCACTCTTTGAGGTATAATGGACATCATCGCATCCATCCGTGCTGTTGGGTTGCCAACCACTGACCTAAGTAGTTTATGGTTTAAATACTCAAAACAGATATTGTTTGTGCTTTTTAACCAAGGGTCATTGGGTCCTATAACTAGAGCTAGCCAAGAGCAAAGCGTTTTATGCAATTGAAGTTTCTGAATAATCTTCAAAGAAAGGAACATATTTATGGATTATTTTCCAAGATTTAATCTTTCCAATGTTCTTACCACAATTAAATTCATTGTAAGATTTCTATTCCTAATAGTTGCAGTTTTTAGAAAAGCTTCTCTTTTTATATAAAGAGGTTTGGTCTCGCAAACGATTCTGTTCATATTTTTTATGAACAGAAACAATCAAATCCATTTAAATTAGAATGCAGAATTGTTACAACTCAAGGTGACATTTTATTCTTAATAGGTCAACAAAATGTAAACATCTGGACAATTTGGGGCCTGGAATGTGTCACAAGAATGGATGCCGTGTTGCATATGGTATTTTGGAGATTACATGACCTTTAAATGTAATTATTAATGAAGTCCTACTAAAAAGATGTTAGATCTGTTTCTATTATAATATTTGCAATACATCATCCCCAATCTGGGGTTCCAGGTATACTAGGTTCCAATTGCCATCATCCTCATATTGATAGTATTTATTAGATTTTTATCCCAGTTTTATTAATTTATAAATAACTCAGGGAGCAAGCTTAGCTAATAGTCCTTCCTCTTCCTATTTTCCTTACTACAACAGCCCTGCAAAGTAGGTTTGGCTGAGAAAGAGAGAGTGACTGGCCCAAGGTCACTCATCTGGCTTTCATGCCCAAAGCAGGACTCGAACTCACAGTCTCCTGGTTTCTAGTTTGGTAGCTTAACTACAAAAACAAACTGGCAGGAGTTATAATCAAATACGTCTATATGAATTTTCAACATAATTTTATACATGTTTGGCAGAGGCAGGTCAAATGATGCTCAGCAGAACTTGCAGAAGGAAAGTGTTTCTAGGACTTCAACCAAAAATACATTCTTGGATTTATTTATTTATTTATTTATTTATTTAGTCAAGCATAAGGATTCCCACAATGTAAAAAAGATGTGGAGACTCTAGAAAGAGTGCAAAGAAGAGCAACAAAGATGATTAGGGGACTGGAGGCTAAAACATATGAAGAATGGTTGCAGGAACTGGGTATGTCTAGTTTGATGAAAAGAAGGACTCGGGGAGACATGATAGCAGTCTTCCAATATCTCAGGGGCTGCCACAAAGAAGAGGGAGTCAAACTATTCTCCAAAGCACCTGAGGGCAGGACAAGAAGTAACGGGTGGAAACTAATCAAGGAGAGAAGCAACTTAGAACTAAGGAGAAATTTCCTGACAGTTAGAACAATTAATCAGTGGAACAGCTTGCCTCTAGCAGTTGTGAATGCTCCAACACTTTAAGTCTTTAAGAAGATGTTGGATCACCATTTGTCTGAAGTGGTGTAGGGTTTCCTGCCTAAGCAGGGGGTTGGACTAGAACACCTCCAAGGTCCCTTCCAACTCTGTTGTTCTATCCTGTCCTGTCCTGTCCTGTCCTGTCCTGTCCTGTCCTGTCCTGTCCTACTCTGCTCTGCTCTGCTCTGCTCTGCTCTACTCTACTCTACTCTACTCTACTCTACTCTACTCTACTCTACTACCTCTACTCTACTCTACTCTACTCTACTCTACTCTACTCTACTCTACTCTACTCTACTCTATTTTTGAGTCAAACTGATTCCTGGTAACTAAATAGACATAGCCTTGGCATTATTTTTATATGGAAGAACTTTGCCATTTCTTCTTGTCTCCAGAAGTTGTGGGTGCTCCAACACTGGAAGCTTTTAAGAAGACAGTGGACAACCATTTGTCTGAAATGGTATAGGGTTTGCTGCCTGAGCAGGGGGTTGGACTAGAAGACCTCCAAGGTTCCTTCCAACTCTCCTATTCTGTCCTGTTCCGTTCCATTCTTCTGAAAACTATACACTACTGTAACTCTAATTTCTGTAACCTTTAACTGGGCAAAACCTTTTCAACCAAGGTGCTTCAAAGGAACTAATTTACAGAATGAATCCAAAATCCAAGACTCTTGACTCTCATGGAATTGAAATTGAGCAAATTTTGTAAAACATTTTATGCCATAAAAATGATCACAAAGCATTTCATGACATAATACAAAATGTCATAAAACATTTTCTGTGCCCAACTCCTGTGCTATACAGTTCAACACGGGTTACGGATATCTCTTTGAATTTTTAAGAACTTTTCAAGGATGCATGTATGTATGTATGAATGATATGCTGTCCATCTGGCTGTCATGGAACAAAGCTCTGCCATTGTTGTATGCATTGAAAAATCTGGTAAGGAAATATATCTGAAAAGATGAGTATAGGTGGGTGTAGCATTGGCTGAGCGCCAAAGAATTGAGGCCTTTGAACTCTGGTGCTGGAGAAGACTCCTGCGAGTCCCTTGGACTGCAAGGCGATCAAACCGGTCAGTCCTAGAGATCAACCCTGACTGCTCTTTAGAAGACCAGATCCTGAAGATGAAACTCAAATACTTTGGCCACCTAATGAGAAGGAAGGACTCAATGGAGAAGAACCTAATGCTCGGAAAGATTGAGGGCAAAAAGGGGACGACAGAGAATGAGGTGGCTGGATGGAGTCACTGAAGCAGTTGGCGTGAGCTTAAATGGACTCCAGAGGATGGTAGAGGACAGGAAGGCCTGGAGGAACATTGTCTATGGGGTCGCGATGGGTCGGACACGACTTCGCAACTAACAACAAAGTCAATAACCCTGAGAATTTCTGCTGGTCTCCCATTCAAACAGTAACCAGGTCCAATCAATGTAACTTTCTGAGATCATTAAAGGGTGGTTAAGAACAGACACTTAGCTATGGGCTATATACATTGATATGAAAGTTTCACAGAAGTTAGTAGGTTTAATTTCTCAATGGTCAATTATAGTTACGTTTTGAGCAGATTGCAAAGTTGATAAGCTATTCCCTCCTTCACCCAAAGCACTCCCAGGCAGCCTTCCAACTTACTTTGCATCCTTCACAGGTGATGACTCCATAGTGAATCCCTGAAGACTTGTCCCCACATATCTTACAAGGGATAACTTCAATTTGTGCTGTGGGAGGAAGAGAAGAATGAAAAGCTGAATTTCATTGGCAGTGTTAATCTATGTCTTAAATTTAAAACACATTCAAAAAAGAAAAAAAAACCTTCTGCACTTGCATTGAACATACAGAACAATTTACAACTATTAGTTTAGCGAGCGATTGCTTGAAATTACGACAGCACTGAACTTATTCACAACTATGTTTTTAAAAAAAGATTATAAAAATCAGGCACGACTTATTTAACAACTCCCTTGCTTAGCAATAAAAAATTCTGGTTCCAACTTATGATCATAAGTGCAAGGACTATATCAGTGGTGGGATTCAAATTTGTTCTGTGGGCATGGCTTGTTGGGCATGTTCTGTGGGCATGGCTTGTTGGGCATGGCGGGGAAAGGATACTGTAAAATCTCCATTCCCACCCCACTCCAGGGGAAGGATACTGTAAAATCTCCATTCCCTCCCCACTCCAGGGGAAGGGTACTGTAAAATCCCCATTTCCTCCCAATCAGCTGTGACTCGGGAGGCAGAGAATAGATGGGGCAGGGGCCAATCAGAGACGGTATTTACCGCTTCTCCAAACTACTCAAAATTTCCGCTATCGATTCTCCAGAACTGGTCAGAACCTGCTGAATACCACCTCTGGACTATATGTATATGTGGCTATCGCACATCGTATGAATGGTTTCAAACAAAAATAATGGGGTTGCCAATATATATCACCGTTGAGAGGACTGTTCCCCAAATACACACATTTTAAGAAAGGATTTTGGGGACAAATTATCACTAGGTATGATTTTGTACTATACATGTGTAGACAGTATACAGACAGGAAGAAAGAGGAAAGAAAGCAGAGGATAAAAGAGAAATAACAAGAGACTCTCAAAAGAAATAATCACAGGAGGTTGCTGATTGACCATTTTGGCTTGCTTTTACTTATTTAGCCTCTGCTGTATTTGTAGAAATTATAGTTTTGGGGTTTTTTTGGAAGGAGGCATATTTACAGTTATATCTTACAAGACAAGAAACTGTAAATGGTGTATCTTCCACAGTAGGCTCAAAAATGTGCAACTATTCTTATTCATGTTACATCTTAATTAGTATATTTTATACTAAATAAATATAAATAAATAAATAAATAAGAACTAATTTATACTAATACGATTTAGTAATTAGTATTAATTAGAATCCACTTCCAATTAAAGGGGATGTAATTCCATCTCAGGCCAGGAGGGGGCAATCAGGTACTTTGAACAAACTATGTTAGGGTGGCCTACAAGTATGATAAAGATGGGGAAGGGAAACAATCTTGGCCACTGAGATCTCCCAGTCTCCCTCCTTGCCCAATCTGTGTCTCTGAGCCTGCCAAAATAGAAGAATAAAACAACCACAATGGAGGATAAACAGCAGATCCCACTCCAGCCCCCAAGAGCACAAGATTCCACATCAGTTCCCTGTGGAGGGGGCTTGTGCCTGAAGTGATTTTTTCTGGCCAAAGAAGAGTACAATATGGACAGTACAAAAGTAGAACTTTGTACTAATTTCCAAAATCAGCCTAGAAGTTCTTAAAATGCTCCAAATGATGAGATATTTTAAAAAGCAGAAACTGAGCAAAGTCAGGGTTAAGCCCACATGATTTCAATCTGGTTAGAACATGTTACAAACACTTCATAGCTTTTGCTTTTTAATCTCCCTGATCATTTTTTTTTTGTTAAGAATTAATGTTTTATTTATTTATGAAAACATTGGACAGAACAATCTCAATAGCTACATAAAAGAGGAAAAAAAGATAGAATATGACACAGTGGATAACAAACCTTGGTGCTGGTTACAGGCAGTTTACAGTTATCCTAACATTTAAAATTCATTCTTTTATTTGTTAATTAATTAAAGGTAAAGAACTACATTTATTGCATCATCTTAAGAAATAATGAGAAATCTCGGAACATGGAATTAATATTGATGTCAGCACTGCTTTTCATCTTTCAAGATTCTATTTCATTGTAATCATGTAAAAAGAAAAATAGAAAAAAGGAAAAGGAAGGAAAGGAAAAAGAAAGAAAGAAAAGGAAAAAATAGCTTGTTTATTTTTCTTTTTTTATCTTCTTGTATAGTACCTATTGCTTTTAAATTACCAATAACCGGAGAATAAACGTGTGCATGCATATCGCCTACACAGATATATACTCACCCCACAGATGTATATACAAACATATGTTCATATACATATACACATATGAATATAAATATATACTCACACATACTTCATACACGTTTGTTTTCATACACATAAACATATATGAAGATAGAGATAGATAGATAAGATAGATAGATAGATAGATAGATAGATAGATAGATAGATAGATAGATACTGTGTTTCCCCGAAAATAAGACCCTGTCTTATATTTTTTTGAATCCCGAAATAAGTGTTTGGCCTTATTTTCAGGGAGGTCTTATTATTTTGGGGCGTGTGAAGCGAGATGGAGTTCCTCTTGCCATCTTACCTGATTTCCAGCTCTACATTTAAATATTTTCAGGGAGGGCTTATTTTCAGGGAAACAGGATAGATAGATGGAGAGATAGATGGAGAGAGAGAGAGAGGGAGAGAGAGAGAGAGAGAGAGGGAGGGAGGGAGGGAGAGAGATGGATGGATGGACAATCATAATCATAGAAATGTTTAATCAGTATAAGCACCACTAAATCTGGTGAGAAATGAGAGTTTCCAAGTTCATTTGTGGAATTCATTGCCACAAGATTCAATGATGTATACTGACTTAGATGGCTTTCCAAAGTAGAAGAGATCACTATTCCACTTTATTTGTTAGTATTAGCGGAATAAGGAGAGATCCTTTCTGGTGTCAGAAGCAGCCTCATGCTGCAATTAAATGACGTGTTTCCTGCACACACAACTGCTGCTTCACAACCTGTACAGGGCAATTTTGGCTGAATAAAAGGCCCACGTGAGTCACAGCACTGTGAGAAAAGGGAAAACCATGAGCTTTTAAAAGTTTGCAGGAGAATGTTTTGTCAGTCTTTGGTAGCCAAAAATCACAAATCTGGCAGCCCCTTTTCCAACAAACAAATTATTAAAAATTTTAATTAGAAATTATTAAAACAAATTTTATTCAAGGTCCTACCATACTTTTTCTGATGAGAAAATTGGTTCATTTGGTTTTTATACCTCACCGAACTGCAGTTGAGAATTTAAAATTCTTACCCTGTTTTTAAAGTCCATTTAATTTCTGGGGACATCTAAGTCTATGAAGAAATATTTACAAATTAAGTTTTGTGCCTGTTTGTAGGAGGCCCAGCCCATCATCAATTTTAGAGCCAGATCTTATCTGACAACTCGGTGTTATTATCAATTTCATAATCCCTTTTCCTATGAAGGAAAACTCTGGTTAGGTTTTTCCCTCCTGCTTGTACTACGCATCGTGCAGCTTCCTCCTAGTAAATTTATTTAGTTTATTTATTTATTTTGTTAAGTAGATTAGTAATCCAATCTGATTTCATTTAATCTGTTCTTGACTCAGATCCAGCTGATACTTTCTTTTATTTTTAGATGTAACCCAATGGAACTTCCATGGTTAGAGGCACTTTACCTCTGAATAATAGATTACATGCAACAGTGGAAGATTATTGTCAGCTAGAAACAGAATGCTAGTCTAAAAATTCTTTTTTTAAGCCTAGAAAAGCCCTTCTTATGTACTTAATTATTTTTTCTAATAATTCATTCATAAACTCTTCAGTTTTTCAATCCATCCCCATATTCTTGCTCAAAGCCATTTCAACTTTTATTCTGCTGTCATTTCAACCAATGTTCCTTTTTACTCGAGGTTAATATTTGGAGTTTTTTCCCCCTGTAAATTCTCCTGTGATTTCAATTATTACCATAGCAGAATCCAACTTGAATCAGACAAAAATCTCTTGTTGAATCACTATTCCCAAAGTACTTGGATAACTTAACAAAACCCATAATCAGACTCCAGAAGGTATAACACCCTGCCAGGCGACAACATTTTCAGCTTTTTAAACACATAGCGAAAAAAAGGGAAAAGATGGAAAAATCCTCAGTGTATAGAACTAACAGTATTATTATTACATTTCAGGTGAACCTAGAACAGAGTTACTTCTTTAAAAAGGTGAGGATAAACATATAGTAGTAGCTAATAGTTATATCCACAGGAAGGATTGTGTGTGTGTGTTTATGCAAGTTACTTCTGGAAAAAAAATAAAAAACAATGCTCATGGATGCATGGAATCACAATTTCAAGTTGCTCTTTATTATATATATATTTTATAGAGAGACGGCAGCTCCGATCACACTTTCCTCGCACAAGCACGAAGCCGAAGACACCAGCCTGAAGATGACGAGCGGGACCTCATCAAAATGTCACCAAGATACATGTCTCCGTACACTCATCCAAGCTCTCGTTATCTCCCGTTTGGACTACTGCAATGCCCTCCACATGGGACTGCTCTTGGGGTGTACCCGGAGGCTCCAGCTGGTCCAGAATGTGGCCGCACGGGTTGTTACGGGAGCTTCCCGTTACTCCCGTGTTACACTCTCCTGTGCGAGCTACACTGGTTACCGGTGATCCTTCGGATCCGCTTCAAGGTGCTGGTATTTACCTATAAAGCCCTATATGGCATGGGCCCAGGGTATTTGCAGGACCATCTTCTGCCTGCCTCCCTGTGCGCTCACATAGGACAGCCCTCCTCCGGGTGCCATCAGCCAGACAATGTCGGCTGGTGGCGCCCAGGATCAGGGCATTCTCTGTGGGTGCACCGACCCTCTGGAATGGGTTACCCCTGGAGCTCCGGACGGCCCCCGACCGCCGCTCTTTCCACCATGACCTGAAGACATGGCTTTTCCAACAAATTTGCTGATCTGTTGGGTGATTCTTAATTGGGAGATTTTAAATTGATTGTTTTTGGTAGTTTATTTTTATTGTTTTTATTGTTTAATTTTGTGAGCCGCCCCGAGTCCTTTGGGAGAAGGGCAGCATAA